AGGTTGTGATCGACATTTTAGTGTCAAAACTGCCAGTGATCTACCACCCCCTCCTATCACCGTACCTCGCTTTAAGCAAAAATATTGGTAAAAATAACACGACGCATGATGTTTGTTGTAAAAGCAACTAGTAACTGGGCTGTGTCTCTGATGTCTCTAGATTCATCCAGTTGGAGGGAGAAAGCAACACAATTGGAAACATCTTTCAGCAACTGTTCAGTTATGTTTCCACACATCATTTCTGTTCGCCGCACAGTGGTGTTTCTTGATAACTGAAGATCTTGAATAGTAGCTATGATCTCGTTCTTATGTTTAAATCCTTCAAAAAGATTATCAGCTATTTCAAGAAAACACTCTTTAACTAATTCCCCTTCAGTGAAAGGTTTGCATTTTTTAACGATCAGATTGCTAACCTTGAAGGATGATTTGGTTGCATTGTTAGAAAGTGACCTTGGTTTTGCCACAAACTGTTGCTGAGCAGCTAATTTCGATTTAAGTTCTCTGAGCTTAAGTTTACGAATTTCACTTTTGGGCGGAAAATCAGCATCATACTTATTGCTATGGAGAGCATTATGATGCGCTCCTGATTACCCTTTTTTGGCAAGGATACTGAGGCGTTGCATTTTCCACTATATTGAGGTAACTGTTTTATCTGGCACACGCACACAGACGCTTTCGAAATTAATAAAATAACGTGGGCAGAGCACTTACTGTCCCTTTGATTACACTGAGCTCGGTTTTAATTTCTAAATACAATGGAAGCATTTGACCCCGGGAGCCGCTACTCAAGTTGGAGTTTCTGCAACAATAAGTATGGGAGTATTTTTTTTATTGCTGCTATAAAAACGGTTTAGGATTAATTAACAGTCGTACAAATGCTGAAGGACTAGATGTGATCCGTTCCCTGACCAAAATGGTATAAAACAAGATGTTTTACCGCCAATGTTTACGATTATGCTATTAGGAAGGTCCAGGAAAACCAGGCGTGACTGAAATTAAATGGGACACATCAGCTGTTGGTCTATGCCAATGGTGTGAACCTACTGAGCGATAACATAGATACCATAAAGAGATACACACAAACTTTAATTGTTCGTAGTAAGGAGGTTCGTCTAGGAGTCAAGGTACAGAAGCCTAAGTATATTTTGCGGTCTCGTCGTCAGAATACATGGCAAAATCAGGACATGAACACAGTTAACAGGTGTTTAGAAAATGTGGCACGGTTAAGATATTTTGGAACGACGATAACGAATCAAAACCTGATTCAGGAGGAAATTAAGAGGCGATTTAACTCGGGTAATGCTTGCTACCATTCAGTCGAGAACCTTTTGTCTTCTCGTCTGCTCTTCAAAAACATAAACATTAGAATATACTGTAACCGTTCATTCTAATTGGTGGACTATTTGTATAATTAAATTTATATTAAGTTAAGATTACAAAAATACAAACAAAGAGATCCGGCAGATAGCCAACTCTTACACGCAGAAGGGACATAGTTCAAGTTTTGCTATGTGGACAGGAAGTAGCATCTGGTACTTTCCTGGAATTCTGGCAGTTTCAGCAAAGTCGGAAAGTCTTTGAGAAATTGAGAGCTGACTGCTTGGGACAGCGATAACTTAGAAGTGGGATGGCCGGAGCCTCATCCCATGGTCGTAATGCATCAAGGGGCTGTCAACCTTAGCGTCAGGTCAGCATCTGCCAGAATCACATAGCAAAGCAACATGATTGGAAATTCAAAATTTAAGGAACCTCCTAGTTTGAAAACTTAACTAATGGCAGAAGTGGAGGAGTGGATTTCTCCTGGAGTCTGGGGTTCGTGGACCTCAGGATTCAGAGAGAGTGCACTCCACCTCAGGGAGTCTTCATCCAACTTTCGGCAAAGTCGGACACAAAATTTACAACTACGTACCTTCCGTAAAAGTATTATAAATAAAGTTCTAAATAAGTGTTACTAATAAATTCATTTGTATTCAGTGAGCTGGAGGGAATTAAATGATTACTAAGTGCAACGGTCTAAAGAGGTGTGTGTGATTGTAGTGGAAGATTCTTCCTGCCCTGCCCGAGCCAGACCCGTATAAGACCCGGGATATGAACTCAGCTCTAACAATTACCGAACAGAACCCAGATACTCCCGTCTTTACCTACTCGCGAGACACTTAAGGGTGTACAGGAAGCGAGCTCTCGCCTACCAGCTCCAACAACCACAATTCTCCTCCCTTCCCACCTAACTTCTCGACATCCACGAGAAGCGGGAGGACGGTGATAAGTGGAGCACAACGTAGGATGAAGGGAGGACGGTGATAAGGGCAACCAACGTAAGGGCACAATGAAGTGAGCGGTTAAAGAAAAGGTGGCGACCAACGTGTGAAGCTTGAAGCCTCACTGACGAAAAACGGTTAATATACAAAACTATAATTTTGCCTGTGTTTCTGTGTGAGTGTGAAACTTGGTCTCTGACATTACGGGAGGAACATAGACTGGGAGTGTTTGAGAACAGGGTGTTGAGGAGAGTATTTGGACCGAAGAGAGATGAAGTGACAGGAGGTTGGAGAAAACTGCATAATGAGGAGCTTCATAACTTGTACTCTCCTCCAAGTATAATTAGAATGATCAAGTCAAGGAGAATGAGATAGGCAGGGCATGCAGCATGAATGGGAAGAGGAGGAATACACACAGGACATTGGTAAGAAAGTCAGAAGGAAAGACCTAGATGTAGGTTGAGGGATAATATTAAAATGGCTATTATAGGAACAGGATGAGGTGGTATGCACTGGATTGTTTTGGCGTTGAGGGCTCTTGTGAGCACGGTAATGAGCCTCCCGGTTCCACAAAACGTTCGGAACATTACTGAGCGACTGGCGGCTTCTCAAGGTCTCAGCTCCATAGAGTTTGTCACTTACTGATGGCCCACACGTACGGAGTGTAATAAATGGTTTGAGAATGTTTAACATATACGTATCTGGGAACGAAGCTAAGAAACAAAAACGTGATGAAAGCAAGAAGGGAAATGACTGTTATCATGGAGGTCCAAAAGCGATATTAGGCCGTTTACCTTCCCACAACACAGGATATCGCGATAATGACGCCAGTAACCTTGCCGGCCGTTTTGTACGAGTATTTTGTTTTACGTGAAGAACTTAAATTCAAAATGTCTGAAATGGCAGTGCCCCTAAAAGCGGATTCTGCGTATAGGTGAAACCCGTGATTCCGACGGGTCAGCCAGCATTCTCAGGACATGCCCTGCTCCTTGCGTTAGTGAGGCAGTAGGCAGATGGAACTGGCTCAGGTTCAACCACGACAATGCTACTTTAGTTAGTTTGTTGGTTGGTTGGTTGGTTGGTTGGTTGGTTGGTTGGTTGCTGCTGCCAGTTGGACGGAACAGGGTCACGGAATAAGGCGCTTTCCCCACGAACGGCCTAGAGACGGCGGCCTTACATCCTGCCGGTTCAGGACAGTCTGACTACAACCTGCGGTGCAGCCTACATTCTGCAATGGTAATTATCTTTACCGCTCGCCCCACATATTTTCTGGCGGCGTTCCGTTTCTCCTCGGGAAAAAACACCGATTTTTTTCCTGAACATCATAAACCTACTGGCATTTGCATTGTGATGCAGTGTGTTTTCTGTGAGGCAGGAACCGACTCCTATGAGGTTACTTAGATAAGCTCGTCTCATGAAGGGTTAAATTCATTCATCTGAGTTAAGGAAGGCCGTTATTAGACTCGCACCAGAACAGTTTCAGTATCTGCAAGTTGTTCAATACGATGCACAAAGTTTGTGCTGTCGCACGCAGCCGCTGTCCAGGCCGTGATGTCTGTGCTGTCGCACGCAGCCTCTGTCCAGGCTATGATGTCTGTACTGTCGCACGCAGCCTCTGTCCAGGCCGTGATGTCTGTGCTGTCGCACGCAGCGGCTGTCCAGGCTATGATGTCTGTGCTGTCGCACGCAGCGGCTGTCCAGGCTATGATGTCTGTGCTGTCGCACGCAGCCTCTGTCCAGGCCGTGATGTCTGTGCTGTCGCACGCAGCCGCTGTCCAGGCCGTGATGTTTCTCCCGCAAACAGCACAAGCGCCGCAGACAAGCATTTCAGGAGCAGGAGACGCATTTGTCACTCTGCGGCTCATTTCGAGCTGTCTGATGGAGTTCCGTGGCAAGAACGTATATAAAGAAAAGGTGTGTTGCTAACCTGGCAGATAGGTCACGACTTTCACATGTATCATGGAAAGTTCAGGTCCGGGGTGTACAATTCTTATGGGCAGTTCGCTTGGATTTGTTTCATGCTAGCCACGACCGGATTCAACGTTTCCAATATTTGCCCGTTTACCCAGACGACCAGAAACATAGCGCGAAGGAGGACTCAAAACGCAGGGCAGTCTCTTACTCGTCAAACCATTTCATTTTGTTGTAAAATTGAAATAGTATTTACAAACTTCTTTATTATTTTTTTGCATTTAAAATGACTGTACACACGGGAAGTACATTCCCCTCAACGTACAACGCGTTTGGCGTGTCCCGCTGCCTGTAAGATGAAGAGTCGAATCGAAAGATGGAATTTCTCAGCATTGCTTTAAAGATTTCTGTGGAGAGGGAGCGAATCTCTTGCAAAACCGACGTTTCCAAATCAATAAATGGTTAGTACTTAAGTCCTTATCCTTGCGATATCCCCTTATCAGTGACGGCAAGGCTGTTTCCGCCCTCGCACCATACGATTAAGACATATGAGCCAGTGGAACGAAAGTCCACAGCAGGCAGAGATGAGTTGTCAGGCTCACATCTGACGTTTCGTTCATCCAGCACGAGGCTGGGTAGGCCTCACAGTCGGTCCGGACGTTGTGGCGGTGAGGAAGTCCCAGCTAACACACAGCGTCTTTACCGACTGAGATTTCGAGTTTACGACCAAATAAAGCGCTACAACTGGTGAGAAGCTGGCCCTCAGGGGAACCTGACTTCACTCTAGCTATGCCTGGACTGAGAGACAGGAGCGAAGCTTTGTGTACTTACGGCATAGGAACGTCGTGCTGTTGTGGAGATTCCTCTATCCCGAAACGGATTGCACTCGGAGAAGCCGGCCGCTCTGCGCCATTAGGAATGAGTAGCATACTGCGAACATAACGTTTTCATGTAGGAACAAACCATCTTTTGAATTGCAACTGCATTCTAGAGCACGTTCCTACTTCCCAGAACCTGTTATGCATACAAACTCTGGGGAGATTCACAAGTTGTTAAAGAAAAACAAATTCCCTACTATGAAGAAAGTCGTCTTCTGGGATCTGGCGCCGTGTATTCTTAGTTTTAACCGACGTTTCGGAGGAACGTCGGTTAAAACCAAGAATACACGACGCCACATCCCAGAAGACGACTTTCTTCATAGTCATCGCTGTGAAAACCTCAAAACTTACAAATTCCCTACTATTTTAGATTCTCAACAATGCACACTGCAACAATGAAATGTAACAACTCAAATGATTACTAAACTGTAGTGGAGCTGGGACGAATGAATATTTGGAGGCAGGTTAAAATCATAAGAGCGTGTAATCCTAACCTTCGGAAACATCTGTAGTGTTTATAGCGTACATGTTACAATTAGTTACACAGTTTCACGTTAGCGCACGCGCAATGCAATATCATGTGCCACAGTCGATCCTTGAACTGTTCTCCTTCCCGCACATTTTGAAATAACTCGCCTTCTTTCTTTCAATTCCTCGCCCTTAAAATAAATTGAGTGACATGCACTAAGAACAATGCAGACACTCAGACAACAAACTTAACTAAACAGGTAGACACTGTCACGTGTTTTATGGTGTGACAATTAGACGGGGTTCGGATTGGATGATCGGATTTATTGCACTTATACACTCAACTCGTAACTGCAAGTAACTGCAACACTATTGCTGATTCCCACACTACAGATCACTAGGACATGCTAAGTCTTCTCTTCACGGTTTAACTTTCAATTCTCAACTGAACACGTTGTCCTCTCTTCTCAATTTTCTTCGACTACCGTCTGAAGAGACTCTCACAGTTATTATTCAGCTGGCCTGGGATCCTCGTTATATAGTCTCGGGGCGGCCTCAACAAAAAACATTGTTTCCTAACAATCCCTTCATTGTTGCTTATGTATTCGTTGCCGTGAGAACCTGTTTACTGAGTCCTTGCCTAGAAATGAACGTTTAATCTCGCTCCGCTATCCCGGCTTTCAGGCGTCATGTCACAGTACGTTTCAAATACAGCTACAATGTTACAAAAAAGAGGGCTGTCACTATACGTCAGCCTGCAGCAGTACATGAAAAAAGTTACACGTTTTTGCAGTAACGTCCTTAGGTCTGTCTTTCAATGCTAAGCTAAATGGAAAGTATCGAAAGTATTGCGCTTCAGTGGCGCAACTCATCCACTTGTCGCGGTCTGACCTGCCTTTCCACTTCACACGAGGCCAGAGAGAGGGTCGCACAACGTACTGTGCGGTGGGAATATCGGAACGCGGGGGAAGAATTATACAAATCGAGCGCAAGAGGAACATGCACATACCTGAGAAATGTCATTCGTTCCCGCCGTCTCTTGCATTGATGCAAGAAAGATCTTGGTGACGAAGGATACGTCCAACCAGTGCAAACATACATATGAAGGGGGCACAAACATGAACGCAGCGAAAGATACATGGCGCGGGCACGGACAGACAGAGTTTTATTCTCAAACGAACACAATGATATGCAGCAGCACAAACATGGCCAAGTAGGGCTAAAGCATGCAGCAATTAATGTGATTTAATGTTATTTCATATTAAAGCGAGACCGTGAACAGTTTAAGTTGCACTAAAGACGGGTGTGAATACATCGATGCAATAGGGTGCTCAGATATTGTGATCAGCACTCGCATGACACGAGTGAGCAGGTTAGCACAGTCTGTAACACGTCCGGTTCGAAGTCGGGAAGCCACCATGGGGCAGGTTACACTGGCTCAGGAATGTGGGTCTTTGCAGCACATTCCACGACAGAACCCTGACGCAGGCCACGACCACTTCCTCCTACGCCTCATATCTGTACGAAGCCATGAAGCACCATGCTGCAGGAGGTGCCATGGGGCGTCGGAAGCGGCACAACTGAGATTCCGCCACTCGAGCGGAATTAGGGCGAGGGCACACCAAGGAAACTGGCAACCGCAATGCAACCGCAATTTCCGAGAAATGTCGCCGATTTCAACCAGGCAACTGGTTTCCAGATTAGCAGGCGTACACTGAGGAAACATGTCTGATTAGTTACTCACATCATCTTAAGTGGGTTTGTTCGTCCGACGTAATGAATAATTGTATATTTTAATTCCGTGCACTTACCTTCTGAAATGGAAGATCCTGTCATAATATGGTGGCGGTTGAGACCGGTTGAGACGGCGTGAGAAGAGAGGTAGACGACCATAAGGGAAATATTTGGAGGTTAATTAATTTGTTTTAATTAGGGTCAATTTATTTCAATCATGAAATATCGCATTCACGGGCGATGCTACATTCCGACATTGTGACATGCAGTGCGACAGTTTCAGCAGGACAGAAGACACCTGATGAAGGCCGTATACAGCCGAACCGTATAATGTGGAAGAAGGGTGACTATATAATAAGTTGCATTTAAGACGGAAATATATGTGAAATAAATTATATATTTTCCCAAGCCAAATCTATTTTGTCCTGCCTAGCATAGTCTGGGTGGCGTTTCTCATATATGCAAGGCTCTTGCTCAATTCTCCACACAAAAACAAAATTATCAGGTTCGTCAAACTTTCGTGTCACCTTAAGGAACAAATGAATCACTGATGCGCGTTACAAAATAGCTGACACTAGGAAACCACGCGACATCGCAATTATGAGAAGACTGGCATGATCCGTTGCCTAAAAGTTGAGTTTCTCAGTCTCTCCGTGAGTTGCGTTGCCGTTTCCTCAATTTGCGCTGCTCCATTCAGTAACACGTGTTTAACTCAGGCTGATAACAGTTCTCGGAAATTGCGGTTGCGTTGCGGTTGCCAGTTTCCTTGGTGCGCCCTCGCCCTTAGAACAAGGAACGTATCACACCGCCTGAAATATGCGCTGAAACCCGAATCTCGCAGCCCGTGTGGGTTCTCAGCACAAACTGAGCAGAAGGTCCGTAACGGACGATGAGAGGAGCAGTCTGAATGCTTCTGCAACTTCAACTTTCGGCAATATTAAGACTTAGCGACGTTTCGGCAAACACTGTAGTTGCACAATCGTCCCGATTCACAATTCAATTCGCTTCAATGGACGACAGATGGACACTCTGGGTTATAGTAACAAGCCGTGACCGAAGAGGCTGGCCTAGAGGTGACCCTCTACATGGCGTCTTCCTCAGTCCCTCCAAGGCATCAGACATTCTACCATCCGACTGCATACACGTATTGTCTAGTACTAACAGCGTCGGCATGTGGCTTGGTTGGATTAATTTATCTCAGATTCGATAGAGCTGACTGATCCAGGGGAACACTGGGTTGAGGCGTGGTGGTCTGTGAGTTAAAGAACAGGAAACAGCTCGGGCTCACAAGTTGCAGCTTGTCACAGCACACGCGATGCTTCCGATGAATGTCGCGGACTTCAGCACGGGCTCAATGTCACGTGGTCCTTCACGTATTGATCAAACATCATACAATGTTTCGCCGAATTATGGGATTTGATGAACCCACAATTGGGCTCCTGGCATATTTATGGACTGCAATGTACAGCCTCGAAGTCACATGAGGCCTGCCCTTTCATTCTGAAGTTCCGAATACGAATTCTGAAAATGTGACTTTCCAGTAACACGAGAGGAAGGTGTCGCCGGTTTGAAGTTCCAAAGGTAGCTTGCCATCACGAAGCCTCAACCCAACTTCCAGATTTGGTTGGGAGATTCGCACGGTCACAAGCAGCGGTGCAATCTGCTCCTTGTCAGTAGACACTGCCTGGGGAATGGTCAGCTTACAGTGTGCAAACACCACCATTACATGAAGTCTATGCCCGCCCGGTACGGTACTTGTGTCATCTTAAGGCACTGGGAACACCTTCGTTACAAAGAAAAAATTGCGGAGGAACTACGCACATGACGTCTACCTGCGTCTACCCAATTTCTGGCCATGGTCATATGTCTACTTCCGGGCCACAGAACGGATAATTTAAATCTCACTGTTCAGTCGAAAGGAAATTTTGATACTGAGGCTTACACGGACTCTGCCACATGGAATACTCTATAATGAAGAGGTGTATGCCGGTCAAAGGACCGATGGGCAACTGGAGCCGACAGAAATTCCATGTTTCGCTTGCCCCACACCGGAAGCCCCCATCCTGTTCTTTTGAACCTTGGACCATCACACGGGAAACCCGAATGCAGAATGCCATCGAATCCTGGAACTGCGAGTCTGAGGCTCGAATTGGGACCAAAGCAGGCAACATGCAACTGTTTTACTGAACCTGTGCCGCTACTGGAAGTGGCCACCCCCGGTTGCGGCTGTCGGGGCAGCGAATGGGGCGGAACCACCGCCTGCAGCTTCCTCCCAGTCAAGCTGATGGTTGTCTCTGTGATCCGATGAATACGATTAGTTTGTATGTGAGTTCTGTTGTTACGAAAAGCCCAATCAGAGCGCCCGCAGCGCACTCGGCTGTGACGCAGTAACTACTGCTTACTAACGGGCGTGTCCTGTGTGAAACCGTTCGCTTCCTCAATTAAATCCACGGAAGAGAAGCGTAATGCGAAGAAGCGAATCATTACCAGAGCAAAGGACATCGCGACACTGCTTTGTGGAGGACAAAGGTGGCGCCATGAACAGAGCACAAGCCAGAGGGCGCAACCAGGAATATTCCGAGAAGTAAAGTAGAGTAAGTAAAAGTAAAGGTATCCCTGTAACAGGCCATGAAGACCCATAGGGCTGTGAGACGTTGAGGGTCCCACATTATCTAGACAATCGCCTCATAGATGGCGGTAAGGTTGTCAGCCTTACGCGCCGGCCGTGCTTTACTCCGAAGAATATTCCTGGTACTCATTTCTGTTAGAGGCTGAGTCGACCCCAGGGCCACAGTGCGGCTGGAAGGATTAAGTTAACTGAAAAAATCCAATGACCTCATCGGAACTTGA